AGAGAGAGAGAGAGAGAGAGAGAGAGAGAGAGAGAGAGAGAGAGAGAGAGAGAGAGAGAGAGAGGAGAGAGAGGGAGAGAGAGAGAAAAAAGTGTATGTCTTTTTTTGAAATTCTTGAGGCAAATGTATTTATTAGTTCGGAGAAACCCTGAAGGCGATTTTACAAACATCATATGACCTCGGAAGACCCTTGCTGCTTTGAAATGTTGGTTCCAGTGACCTGATTGAATGTGACAGGGAATTTGTTCCTGAGAGTGGTCAGCAAAGTTCTTTGTTTCCTGATGCGCTAAAAAGTACCTTTATCCAATCCATTTGCAACACAAATCCTACCATTCGACAGCTTGGCCATTTCCAGAAAACAAACTGGTGGAAACTTGCGGATCATGAGCAGCATGTCTCACGGCTAAACGAGCTTTAAACTTGAGAAGTGAGTGCTTAACATAAAACTTTAAGGGGAAATAATTAGGGTTATCGCCTGACCATTGTCTTTAATTTCTTTGGAGATAATTTATGGCTAGGAATGAATATCTCCACAACACAAAAAGAATGGGAGTCTGTCCCATCAACAGCGGACAAGCGGTTCTTTCCAACTTATCGGGGATGGGGGAGGGGAAAGTAGAATTTCGCCCTCCCTCCACAGGTTAACGTGGACCTCCACAGCCGGCAGGAATAGGCTTCTTAATGACAGAGACTGTACAGGTTTGGGTATTTTCTGTTTCACATATCTTTGTTTTATTTTTTTATTTTTTTTGCTCGAAACGTGTTTATTTGTGACCATGAGCACCAGCTAAAGAACACCGCGTTTTCAAAATGCAGCCGTCGTTTGCCTAAAAGCGTCATATAGCCAGTGCGTTCTGGTGTATTACAGGCCTCTAAACGTCACTGCCTTCTAGTGCTTTAAAGACCCTCTGAAGTCAGTGACTTCCAGCATATCGAAGAACGACTGTAAACGCAAAGAAATCCTTAATCATATTGATTTCATAACGACAATGTCGTGTTTAGTATTAATTATATTCTGTTGACTTTTGACCCAGTTCAAGCAGTCGTCGACTTGCACGCTTTGAGTGATCAATCAGAATCCGCCAACTCTAGGCATGGCGAAGTCGACACAATTCGCAATTAGGGAGTAAATTCCTAATGACTGGAGGTAAAAGCTAACTTGCTTCAGTGGCCACAGAGGGCATCACGCTACCTTTTGGAAACCAGGCAGTGGTGTGTAGAGACACTGGCCAGGCAAAAGGATGAATCGCATTAGGAAATTGCTATATTCAGATGTCTTGTGATCTAGTAAAGCTTAGCCAAAACTGATCTCACTCATTGACCTGACATCTTTGAACCATCACTGACCTGACAAAATTGTCGGAAAGTCTTTAAAATAGATGTAACATAAGGCACAACAGTGTGAGGAAGATGGCACTAAGCGTTGGCAGCCACAGTGGGCACGGGTGTCAAACACCGTCCTCGCCAGTCCCTCGAGGCTTAGGAGAAAGCATGCAAACGTGTGGCGCAACGAAGCGGTCATTCTCACACCTGTATCCTGGTCGAGTGCGCCACTGACGATATTTTCAAAACGATGTACGCTCAAAAACGCCAATGTCGCACATACAAACAACTGGTCCACCGTTTGACGTGTTGCTGCATGGCAGCGGCTTCTGTTTGTCCAGGCTGTCGCCCCCCCGGTGAGCGGCCCCTGAGTCAACTGGTCGGACCTTCTGTGTGACGTGATGCATGCGGTGGCGGTCAGACGGCTGTCACCGCAGCGGTCAGCGTGGTCCTCGGAACCAGGAAGGGTCAGGCCACGTCAATCTTCGTCGCTCCAGGGCAGGCGTGTCAACACAACACGAGTTTGAACTATCGCTATGCTGCAACTATTATTTTATTTTATGTGTACCCAGAGGCAGAGGAGCCTTTTCAGGATTGGTCGGAGGACGAGACGTTTTGATTCGGTTCTTCGCCATCGATTGCCGTGAGGCACGTGCTCATTTTTCAACTTTTTGGGCTCATTGAAAAAAAAACAAAATACTGAGCAGCTGCAAACTGGCCAGCAAAGTTC